GAGCTGGCAGCGGTAAAAAGCTACCTTGCCCAGGAGATTGACAGAAGCTCTAAGGCAGTGATGTCAGAAATCCACAAGCTGGGTGAGCGTACTGCCGACCTGGAGCAACGTGTGAAAACAACCACGGTGGCCCACAACACGGTGACCGCCCATGTGAACACACTCACCACCAGACTAGAAGCCTCAGAGGCAGCGCTCGAGGACCTGGCGAATAGGTCGCGCCGCAACAATATCCACGTGCGCGGCCTACCAGAGAAACAGGACGAAGGCCCAATCGCGACCATGCTCCTCGCAATCTTACGACCTCTCTTGCCAGAGATACCAGACGAGCACTGGCATATCGATAGGGCCCACAGGGCCCTGTGCGCCCGAAGAGACGACAGCACAAGACCCAGGGACGACATAGTCCGTTTTCTCCACTTCCAGACAAAGGAAGCGGTGCTAAGGAAAGCCAGAGAAAGCCCTATAAAATACCAGGATGGAGAAATCTCCCTTTTCCAAGACTTGGCTCCCATCACCCTCCAACGCAGAAGAGAGTGGAAGCCAGTCACCGAGCTGCTCAGGACCAACGCAATCAGGTACGCCTGGGGGCATCCCTTTAAATTATTGGTCTTTAAGCACGGCAGACCCCACATCCTCACGCCAGGCACGGACCCAGCACCCTTCCTTCGCGCTTTGGGCATCTCAATACCAGAGAGCTTCTCGCTGCCAAATACCGCTCTCCCGGCCCTACAACCCCTACCGCGCGACTGGTACACCGCCGCGGAGTAAATAGACGGCAGACGGACACCAACAACCAAGGCACAACCAACCTCCCAGGAACGAGTACACCAGACCCCATCCATCAACACCACAACACCCTCCCCACCCTTCAACATCCACCAGAAACAGACCTCCAGGCAACAGAACACCGGAGACACTTCGCCCACCGGTCGGAATGAAACTGCGACACCCAGGGAAAATGCCCCTCTCTATGATGGACTCCTGCTCCAAACTTACCCCTGCTGCACGCACTGACCAACGGACTCTTTTCCCTTGACCAGAACCAACACTTGATCTACGAGCTTCAATGACCCCCCCTGCCCACACAACACCCATCTCGACAACAGCGTCAACGATAAGCCACACTATGAACTTGTCTAGAGACTGCATCGGACATCTCGACACTAAAGCAAGAACCTGTTCAAAGCTAACACAACCCTGTCACCAACTGGAAGTGTAAAGTATATATGTGACACCAATATGAAGTAATAAAATAGTCACCCAGGGCACACACTCCACGATAGATACAACTCACCGCTCTAGACACCAACTCACCACACAGAGATTAAGCTCCACGACAGGGAACACGCTCTACGCAGGGAAAGCACACACCTAGACAGCACGGGGGAGGGGGGAGGGAAGGGGAATGGAGAACGGCTGTTGGTCTAGGGCAGGGGTTCTCAACCCAGTCCTCAGGGCCCCCTACCAGTCCAGGATTTGGGGATTACCTGGGTTTCGGGTGTTTAGAAAAAGAAAAAAAAAAAAACACCTTAGAGTCAAAAATAAGTAAAAGGAAAACAAAAAACAAACAAAAAAAACCCCGACACAACTATGCTCACCAACAGGAGAACCATCATGGACCAGAAGAGGCAACCCAACTGGGCTCGCCCACAAAAGCCTATGCTTCTCCCCCCCCCCCCACATTTCGTGGATAACACCGCTAAGCGGCAACTCTCAAGAGCTCCCCGCTTCACTAAGCAACATAACACCTAAGAACCAGAGGCAGGGAAGCCGAATTACCCACATGATTATAAGATAGTACGCTGCACACTAAAGTCGCAACAGACAAACGATTTATGGTATCAGGGGGCCACACCGGCCGATAGGTTCATGACCCAACACTCCCAGACTGATGCAGTCATCGCGGAGACAAGGGTCCATGCACCCCCCCACGGTCTGGCACAGGATAAGACCAGACACGTACGGCAACACCATACCACACCCTCTCCAAACCTCCTTCGACCCTTTCTCTTCCCCCCTTACCCTTCCCACCCATGCACCCCACCCCATGCCCGCACTGGTCTTGGACGAAGTCAGAGGCGCAAAGTATACATCCCCAATCTCACACCCAAACAGTGACACAAAGGAACAGAGGTGGGAGTCAACCCCACCCCCCGCTGCACACATACACCAGTCAAACCACAATGAATTACCAAAGCCACCCGAACATCCAGCGGAAACAAAAGCGCTCACCGAAACTTCAAGATTATGGCTCTTAAAATAGCCTCGCTCAATGTTAAAGGTCTCAACGCCCCACGCAAGCGAAGAACACTGTTTAGGGAACTAAAAAGATTAAATCCTGACATAGCATTCATACAGGAGACATACCTGTCTCGGTCCGCCCAGGTCTCCCTCCGCGACAACACATACCGCTTAGCCGCAGAGGCACGAACCTTTCGTAAACATAACGGAGTGGCGATTCTTACACACAAACGATGCCCAATTCATATAATCCAAGTGACTCCAGACCCAGACGGTAGATACGTTCTAGCCACCGGCCGGATTCACTCACAACTCATCCACTTAATCAACATCTATGCCCCCAACACACCTACACCCCAATTCTGGAACCAGATGTCAGACGTAGTCCTTTCACTCCCCACCGGGATAATCCTCCTGGGAGGAGATCTAAACGCAAGTCCCGCCCCAGCAGTAGACAGAAACTCACGCCCAGGACTAATTAGATCTCATGGCATGGACGCCCAAGACAAACAATTGCACCACTTTATCCGTAAAACAGGCCTCATAGATGCATGGAGGGCTCAACACCCCTCTGACAAGGACTACACTTATTACTCGCCGCCCCACGACACTTACTCACGCATAGACATGTTCTTGACCAACCATGCAGGCTACACAAAAACACAAAAAACAGACATAGGCACCATCGCATGGTCAGACCACTCGGACATCGCGATCTACCTTAAAGGCCTCCTATGCCCTACCCCGTGGACGTGGAGGCTAAACACGTCCCTCCTTAAGGACCCCCAAATCGTAGACGACATACAGAAACAGCTAACCACATACTTTATAGAAAACATAACACCAGAAATCCCCATGACCAAGGTATGGGCGGCCCACAAAGGCATTTCAGGTCAATACTAAATGCAGCAGTGTGAATTTAAACCTGTTCCTCGGTTCTCAATTAAATATATGCATGTTAAATTTATAGGGTTAGTAAACATAATAATAAAATTATTGGGACATGACCGTTATTCTAATCTGCCTAAATTAAAGGTTTACCAGAAGAAAAAAAGAAGGTTGCACTCAATCAAAAAAAACACAGGGTGCTTACTGAGTATGGGTCAGCATACACCATAAAACAGATATCAACATGGGAAAAAAACCTCAGGCACTCACACAGCAACATTTCAACCTGTTCCCAGGTCTTCAAGCTTGATATAGACCTGGGAACAGGTCGAAACGTTGCTGTGTCCATTAAATCTGCTGCTGACATTCACAATGAGTGCTTGAGGTTTTTTTCATTTTAATTAAAGGTTTAGTGGTGTTTGTTTTTTTAGTGTGTGAATATATAGCATGCAGGGTTTTAAAGCCTACAAATAGCATGCAACATCAGACCCCTGCTGATACCAGAGAGACCCAGGTATCACACACTCCCTGGGGCCCCAGACTTACCGACGAGCCGTTTGCAGCAAAGTAAGAATTTTAAAAAATCCATTTTTAAAAAAAAGTACATTAGTGGGGTGCACTTCATATC